GTTTTCCCTACAAATAACGCTCTACAAGTTTCCTTAATGCTTGAACCGTAAATAAGTTCATGGTAAATAACCTTCCACCGAATATCGTCCGATAACCTCTTCATTTTAATCAGTAAACTAGTAAAATCAACAAAGAACAGCCTACGAACACTAAAAGCGATTTAAAGTGCGCGCGCTTGTCAGTGTTTGTCACGCTATTTATTTTTCAACTGTTTCGTTGTAATTGTGAGCTGAGAAAGTTAAGTAAACCGAAACTAGTTTTTACAATAAGTTCGTTTTGTAGTGCGATCACAAACTGTAGGAATTTAGCCCACAGACATACATTAACCATGGTTTTTATACTTGGATAATTTTACCCGCTTCAAGCTGTGCCAGGTTACCAAGTGGTCGAGTGAATGACGGTCGAGTGAAAGTTTAGCGTCCGAAAAAAATTCGAGAGTTCGCACTCATTTGAAATCGGGTGTAATCAACCATGAATAATGAAAAATACAACCAACAAAGACCTTTAAAAAAAGATCTGAACTTTGTAAGACTGATATTGAAGGCGCTTTAGCCGTGCAGATTACAAACATGAGGAAGTTAGATTTGTTAGTGCGTTAGTATGTTAGTGCCCTCAAGGTAATGCGGCCGAAGTACAGACACTGAGGATGGTCGTTCCTGCGTCCTCAGTGGTTCTTTAACGTCCACTACAGGGTTAGAGTAGAGTAGACGGGACCTCCGTTTAACGTCGAGAGGACGTGAAGATCTTACAATTTACAGAAGGAGAAACAAAGGCAGCAACTTCTACTCAATTATTTTAAGACCCTGAGTATTGGTCCGGTCAGGTTTTGAACCCATAACCTCMMSCGTTGTAGTGCGATGCTCAACCAACTGAGCCAATCGGCATGCGGTCCAGTTTTGGATTTTTAAACTTCAGCTTGAATTTTCAAGTTTACACCTTTTAAAGGTATAAACTCTTAAAAGCGTTATAATGATTGTGCCTCCATACCTCAAATTGTGTTTCCCACTCTAAGCTTGCTTCTCTCGTGTTTTTCAACTCCCACCGTGTTTACATCAGAAGAGACACGCGCGCCGTTTTATATTTCTTAAATATAATAGCTATAACAGATATATAAGCTACCCCATCTGTATTGGTACATATTTTCTTTTAGGTATATTTTTCATTCATGAATGTACCGGGCAGGTAATCCTGCTAAAAAGTTTGGATCACGAGAAAGTAAAGAGTTACGTGTTATTGGTGCAAGCCTTCGATTATGGAACACCACCAAGAACCAACTCTACCAACGTTACTATCAATATCMTGGATATCAATTACAACTCATCGGTGGTCTCACCAACTATTGAGGTAATACATACTAGAATCCGTATATTGGGCTCTGGAAAAAGAAACATTCAGTTCTGTTAGTAAAGTTCTCACTTATGCTCCGACTTCACACAATCAAACAAAATGGGAAATGAAACGGTAAATATTTATCTAGGAAAAACCTATAATTACTCTTTTTTAAAAACTTAATATTTTCAGTAATGAAGATAACAAACACACAGTACCTCTATAAATTGGAGCAGAAACCTATAAAAGACTTGAAACGTGTAGCACCTGTACATTTCTTTAGTACCAAGCGTTGGAATATTCAAAGCTCAATAAAAATTCGAAAACGAACGTTATGACCATATTTGGAAAATTCGAACGTTGGATAAGAGATTGAAGGCCCGTTCTCTCCGTTCTGGTTGGCCAGGGTAAATTGAATTGTTCCAAATAAGGAAAAKAGATGCAAATTAGATTTGAATATTCCAACGGATGGCACGGTGTTACACGTTTCAAGTCCCTTATAGGTTTCTGATTGGAGGTAAAAAAAGTCAATTTAAAAAAATGCATGCATTCATGAATGATTATACGGGCAACAGAATATTCGCTACGCTAACTCTTTTCGACAACATTTAATATCCACTATTTTCTACAGGGGACACCATCTTTGAATCCTGAACTCGAGACTGATACAGGTAAAAAGCATTAACTTTAGTAGGTTACTGACCATATGAAAAAAGAGGAGAAGGCTTGGAACGAGCACCTTGAACGGTTTATGTTTTCAAAAATCTGTTTTCACCATAACAAAGAGTATATTGGCGACGTTTTAATCTCAAATGWTGAACATTAGCAGAGTACCAAAAACGTGAAAACCTCGAGTTGATAAGGACTTTATAATGATTTTCACCTAAACCTTTGCAATTTCAAACACCAGAATTTTCTGGTCCTTAAAGTCCACCTCACCCAATTTTACATTTGGAAAAAAAAAGTTTAGGAGTTATGAAMCACAAATTTATAGTCCGTATTCTGTGGTCGATTATCGTTCACTTTCGCTKCCATGGCACCGGCACCAAAACTTAACCTCGCAAACACATACTTTAAGACTCGCCTAACACGAATTCAGCTGTTGTCACCTCCAAATCGCTGCGGTTTTTCCAGAAATCCTAAGAAAAGTTCATTGAATCTCCTTTGTATTTTCACGTCCGCCATCTTGAAATGATATGCGCATTTATTGTTTTCGGAGAGAGGTACACTGGATTCCCGCCAATATCGCTGGCTCAGAAAACTTTAAACCCCTTCGTAAAATTGCATTCAGTTCAAATTTTAATTCATTTAAAGGCGTAAAAGGCGATTTATCATGTTTTTCGGATGTTTTCTTTAAAATTTTTAAAAACGCCATCAGTTTTGGCTGAATCTTGATGGTCAACAAAGAGAAATTGCTGAAAAAGCAAAGGAAATTTTGCAAAGTATGGTCAGGAGTAGACTATTGTTTTTTTATGATTTTTTTCTTTATCAACAAATGAGGCAATTTGTGAATAGATGAAATGAGCGGACAATATATGGGTAGATGAATGGATGGAAAGTTGAATGTATTTAAGTTTCAATAAATAAAAGGTGGAAGATGGATGAATTGGTTAAGGAAATGGAATGAAAATAAACAGAAAGATAACGTAATTTAAATAAGAGATAGAAAAAAAGTAGGCTCAGTCTCCAGCCGTCGGGATTTCGTGCGCCCGCGATACTCTCTCCCCTGACGGCTGGGCGCATGGGGTTCGCTATTGTCAGTCTTGACCAATCAGCGAGTGGCCCCCGATATTTTCAGGAGCRTATCATTAATAAATTAGMAGGCAGCAGTGTAACAAAATGGCGGACAATTCGTCGTTTGAGATTCTCTTTGAAAGTGMTTGTTTGAAGGCTCTGAAGTCGTTTAGCTTGGACAAATTTAGAGAAATACAGCAAAAGGCTCTTAAAGAGATTGTTCTTGGAAAAGATGTCCTTGTTATTCTTCCTACTGGCTCGGGCAAATCTCTTATTTTTCAAACAGCGCCACTAGTGTATTTTGCTCGTTTTTCTGGCAGATAATACATCCATTTGGATTATAAAACCCTACACATGTTTTACTTGGGGTAATTTCCATTCCTTTCTCTTTTTTAAAGCGCTAACTATTACATTATATCGCTACTTCGCGAAGTTTTCATTTCACATAATTTCCCGCCTTGTAGCAAAACCTTTACGGCTGTTGTCAGATATTTCACTTCCGTTCACTGAAAAATTCACTTCCGTTACGTCATAATATGCTAATTACACAAAAACGTCACGGACATGCGCGACACGTTTCGAACCCCATGCGCCCAGCCGTAAGGGGAGAGAGTATCGCGGGCGCACGAAATCCCGACGGCTGGAGACTGAGCCTATGTGCGCGGGCGAGCTCGATGAAATGTCTCGTAGTGATCTCGTTGGGAAGAAGGAGCGGTTCGTGATAAACTAGGGAACGCAAAGGGGTCCCAAATGGACTGGTTTAGCCATAGATCATCAGGAACTAGRAGADGGTAGACAGASAAATYTTCGTGTTTCAATGCAATAGACCTTTTCACGATTAAAACCAAAATAGGCAAAATGTTTCCTGCAGCCATCAAATGAACAAGAGTGCCAAGTAATATCAAAATTATGATTTTTTTACAGGTATCTAAAATAATTATTATGGCATTGCAAAAGGATAAACAAGCTCAAAAATGACAAGTTTTTGGGTTGTTGCCCGATTTTGCCTCGCTTTGGTGCAAAACCAATGCAGGCTACTCGCGCAACTTGTTTCCTAACCGCAAAAAGGGTTATTAATTAAGGCGTTTTAAAATTGTGCACGCGGCGGGTTTGAATTAAAGCTTTAAGACAGTACAGGAAGGTAGTAGGTTAAAGATTAATAGACAAGGGGGGAGATATATATGGGAGAAACTAAATATGATCTGAAAGTTCTTACTTGATACCCGTAGTGTACYAGTTTGGACCGTGAATTTATTAAATTTATTAATCTTTTCCTCGTTAWTAAAGAGTTGTCGCAAATCGTGCTTCTCTTCTCTCGAGAAGTTTTCGAATCTGACAACGTTGTTATTTTTGACAACGTTGTTATTTTTTTTTCACTTAGTTCTAGTTAATTTTAAACGTTGCCCCCCTCTTTAAGCACATACAATTAGATTTTGCMCCCCTCGGGATTCTCAACCCCACTTCGTGTATGGCTGAAAACGCCTTAACCGCATTGAAAAACGAAGATTTTTCAGTCTGGGMGCATGGGGTTCGCTATTGTCAGTCTTGACCAATCAGCGAGTGGCTCCCGATATTTTCAGGAGCATATCATTAATAAATATTTTTTCATTTTTTCATGTTTTTTCATTTTAATGAATATTGTAAAATTTCCCAATCTGACTACTTACCCCTCCCCCCAGGGAGCATGAATGCAAAATGTGCAATTTAAAGTGTATATATCGGTTCAGCAATTTTGGTTTAAAATAAAAGTTTAGACTGTCATGAATTATGTTTGGTAGGTTAAACTCGAAAAAAAAAATTTTTAGTGTCATTTTTTTTAAAAGGCCTAAAAGTGCTAAAAATGCCTGTTTTGGGCCTCCTGTGCCAAAATTTTGGAGCAATGCAGAAGTCTGGTAACTAACATTTCATGACGTCATTCACGGAACTCGTCACCCAGAACAATATTGTTTCCAGTCATTTTCCAGTCAAAAAACTATCAAAATTCTATTTAATTCCGTACTTAAAAATACGATTCCTCTTCCAAAATGCCCGATAGCAGTAGTCAAAAGTTGTGGTAACATAAACAGTCGTGAAAACGCTATATTTCCTAGAACAAAATTCAGTATTAAGACCAGCGACAAGAGGCAATTCGACGCCGAAAGAGACGAGACATACACATAAGCGCTAGTTAGCGAACTTTGCAAAAACATTTGTGAGTAATTAGAGKAAAAMAYGSGRAACTCTTCTTTACATAAAAGCTTGAATGAAGCCTTTTATAATAATACAGTTTGTCCGTCCATATTCATACACTTTTCCTTATAATGCAGGATATGATCGCGTAGCTACTCAATTTTTGGCRAAGTTTGCTCGTCCGAATAACCCTTTTATACAGAGAAAGTTCGAGTAACTGTTTTTCTCAACATTCGCAAAGTTTGACTGTCCGCATATGAAACTTTTTTATACTTAAATAATAATAGTCACGCTAAACAAGAAAATCAACCTCTTTTAACTTGATTTTTATGCACGAGTTTGTCATCAAGTCACAGATAGACTCCGAGTAGAGCGTTTTCGACGGAAAATTTCTAAGTGCCACGGCAAAGGTGTTTTGTATACTATGCCCAGCAAAGACCAGCGAGCTTTATACAAAGTAAGACTGCTTAAAAGGAGCGCTTAGTATTTCTAAACAAACTTTCCCTTGTGTGGTTTCAACACAAACAGTCATTTGACCGTGATTTGAAGAAATNAAAAAAATTTTTTTAGTGTCATTTTTTAAGGCCTAAAAGTGCTAAAAATGCCTGTTTTGGGCCTCCTGTGCCAAAATTTTGGAGCAATGCAGAAGTCTGGTAACTAACATTTCATGACGTCATTCACGGAACTCGTCACCCAGAACAATATTGTTTCCAGTCATTTTCCAGTCAAAAAACTATCAAAATTCTATTTAATTCCGTACTTAAAAATACGATTCCTCTTCCAAAATGCCCGATAGCAGTAGTCAAAAGTTGTGGTAACATAAACAGTCGTGAAAACGCTATATTTCCTAGCACAAAATTCAGTATTACGGCGACCAGCGACAAGAGGCAATTCGACGCCGAAAGAGACGAGACATACACATAAGCGCTAGTTAGCGAACTTTGCAAAAACATTTGTGAGTAATTAGAGGAAAACACGGGAAACTCTTCTTTACATAAAAGCTTGAATGAAGCCTTTTATAATAATACAGTTTGTCCGTCCATATTCATACACTTTGCCTTATAATGCAGGATATGATCGCGTAGCTACTCAATTTTTGGCGAAGTTTGCTCGTCCGAATAACCCTTTTATACAGAGAAAGTTCGAGTAACTGCTTTTCTCAACATTCGCAAAGTTTGACTGTCCGCATATGAAACTTTTTTATACTTAAATAATAATAGTCACGCTAAACAAGAAAATCAACCTCTTTTAACTTGATTTTTATGCACGAGTTTGTCATCAAGTCACAGATAGACTCCGAGTAGAGCGTTTTCGACGGAAAATTTCTAAGTGCCACGGCAAAGGTGTTTTGTATACTATGCCCAGCAAAGACCAGCGAGCTTTATACAAAGTAAGACTGCTTAAAAGGAGCGCTTAGTATTTCTAAACAAACTTTCCCTTGTGTGGTTTCAACACAAACAGTCATTTGACCGTGATTTGAAGAAATCTCTGAAATTTTGGACTGCCGTGCACCGAGTTATTTTAAGCACCGTGACCGGCTGCCGGGCATCTTACACACTGTGTTTAAAATACTCAGAGAAAGTTCGTGTAACTACATTTCTCGACAAAATTGGCGAAGTTTGCCCGTCCGCATATAAAACCTTTTAATATTAATACTCAGCCAGCCACGCTTCATCTGTAATCGGTTCGTCGCTGTACTTTAAAGCGTTCATGTCGCGATATGCTTCAGGATGCTTCAAAATCGTCTTCGATAAAGTGGTCATTTTGCGCATTGATCGGGTTTCAGATTCAACTTCATAATTACTCAGAAATGTAACAAGAGTCTCTACATTCACTGCTGCAATCAGACATGTCTTTTTTCAAGAAAAATCAGTTGTTTTAAAGATCAGTTCTGTGAAGTTTAGTGTTGTTTACCGTAAGCTTGTTCCGTGAATGACGTCACTGGACGGAMTAGTACCAGGCCTCCATAACGGTCGACTTTTATCAGCTCATTCCGCAGTTTGAAAGCTTAAAAATATACTAAATTTATATAGTATCGTAAAATTTTCTTTAATTATGTGATTTTTAATGTCCAAACTTTCATTTGAAAGAAAAATTGCTGAACTGATATATGCACTTTAATAACACTATACAATCAAATCATACGAAAAGAATTGATGGTTTGAAGAGCTGACACTATTTGAACTTAAATTTGTCATTTGTTATTCATTATCGGCATTTTCGACATATATTACTTATTTACGCAAAATTTAGTTTTGTACCCACCCCCACAGGGGAAGTCGAAATCCAAGATGGCGGACGTAGTAGTTTAAATTGCTTATTTCGAGAAAACTGCAGGTTCTCCGAAGTGACAACAACTGAATTATATTCTAGGAAGTCAAAAACCACATTTTAGTGCAATTGTTTTTTGGTGCCGGCGCCATGTATGGCAGCGAAAATCGTTTTCTAAAAACATTTTCATGGGACAGAATACGGACTATTACATAAAAAAAATTCGAATTTCCAAATTTTATATTTTTTAAGCTTGTTTAATTCGGCCAAATGATTTTTGGCCGAGTGCGAGGGAGCCTAGGTTGATGACGTAGATGGAGTAAGTTGACCTTCGGTGAATACAWAGTTTACTGTTTACCATATTTCATTATAAATCTATGTTTTCTAAGACTGAACGTGGGAAAATCCAACCTGGAACGGCAAATCTAGATTATTCTGACGATTTGAACGTTATTTTATGTCTTGGCTATAAAAATGGAGCCAAAGTGCTAAGAGATTATTCTGGACGAATAAGTGTTGCGTAGATCTAGATCTATATAGAGGAACGGGAAAAGTTATTTACGACCCCAGGTAAGTAACTTCTTTCAATATATGTAGGTAGTATTTACAGCTGTTCAAATACCAGGTTCTCTTGCTTCAGATTTGATTTTTACTGTCATTTCACTGTAGCTATCTATCGTTGTCTCTCGAACGACTTACTCCCTCTACGTCATCACGAAGACTTTGACCAGGCACACAGGAATCCCGAAATTGGCTTTCTCCGCGGTTGTTTTCTCTTCAAAGTGTATCTTAAATAAACGAAATCAATTTTTTTTGTACAAATTGTTGTTAATATGACAAAAGTCTTTTTTTTTCCAAATATAAAATAAAATTGGGTGAGGTGGACTTTAAACTTTCAGATCTTACTCATTATAATATGTTCTATGTATTAAACAACATTTAAACTATGGCGTAATGTCGGCCGCGCCCTTTTTTATATGGYCTAACTCTGTATAATTTATGGTAAATTTCTTTATTTTTTTCTGATATATCTTAATAATATCATAGTAGTATTCGTGCTCTGATCTTTGGACCCATAATATTTTTCTCATCTCATACCRATTAACGTACTTCAGCGGGTCGTGTCTAGACCGTATAATAAGACACCTTGCTTCTACATACGAAGGAAGACTTATTATGATTTCTAAAATCAGAAGATAAACAAGCTCAAAAGTAAATGCATTAATTAAATGCAATAATACTGTTGCCAACTGTCCAACCGTTGCGAGCGGATAAAAATTTCAAACTTTTTTACGAACAGATCATAATCTGCCAAATTTGCTTCCTTGTACGTTCTTGTACGTTTCAGTTTTAACTTTCTTTAAGGAAATTCGAGCAAAATCTGATTTGGAGTCATTGATTCATGCGCARTGGCARCAGGAAACCTGAAATCTGGACTGAAAAATTTCGTTATCCCAGAGTCTTATGCTTATCGACGGCGCTGACCAAGTCAGCTAGCATACATGGTTTTGATTAATAATTGTTTAGAATCTTATCTAGAGTTATAACAT